TGAACATCACTCCCATACCAGTGTGGAGAATGGTTTGAAAAGAAGTGAGACTTCTAGGGAGACAGGTGTCAAATTACTGCTTTAAACCAGGAGAAAGAAGTGGACTAAACTGAGCTGCTAGCAGTGAGTATATAGAGAAGGCAGCATGTTTGACAGATTATAAAGAGCTGATTTAGTGATTGATTGAATGTGGAGATGTTAAGTCATCAAGGATGATGCCCAGGTTTCTGGTTTCGGCAACTAGGTGGATGATTGTACTGTATAAACAGGAAACCAAAAAACAGGAGTAAGTTTGGTGAAGTAAAATATTAAATTACTTTTAGAACATTTGGCACTTGAGATGCCTGTAGAGTATCCATGTGAAAAAGTCCAGTAGAAAGAGAGACAGATGGGTCAGATGTTCAGAAGAGAGATTAGAGTTGAAGATAGACATTTTGGCTACCATTACCATCCAGATGATAACTAAAGTCTTAACAATGGATAAAGTTATTCAAAGAAATGAGAAGAAAAGGGGGGTAAAATTGAAACCTTGAAGAATACCCAGTATCTGAGGGATTGGCAGCAGAGGAGTCCACAAGCAAGAATGAAAAGGAATGAGGTAGGAAGAAAAGAAGTGAGTGCATAGTCAAAACTGAAGGAAACTCTGGTACAATGAAGGAAGTTATCAAAGAAGTCAAATAAATTAAAATCTGAAAAGGGACCATTGGGTAAGTATCAAAGAAGTCCTTGCTGATCTTATTAAGAGTGATTTTATTATATTGATCAGGTGAAAATCCACACTATAGAATATTAGAGAGTAAATGAGAATCCTGGTGATGCAACAGTTAAGTGCTCGGCTATTAACCAAAAGATACGTACCCACCCAGCAGCTCTGCGGGAGACCTAGTGTACTACTCCTGTGAAGAATACAGTCTAAAAAACCCGATGGAGGAGTTCTGCTGTGTCACATGGGGTGGCTATGAGTTGAAAATCAACTCAGTGGCACTTAACAATAATAACAGAGAGTAAATGAGAGACAGGAAATGGTGCGGGAAGGAGGGCTTGTGTAGACGCTTTTTGAAACTGGCTGAAAAAGGGAAGGGATAGAAGGTGATAACTATAAAGAAGTTGTGGAGTTGAGGGGGGTTTTGCATATTATATCTCTTTATTAATTTTAGAATGGGAGAGCATGTTGTAATGCTAATTGGAAGGTGCCAGTAAAGAGGGTTTGTATGTGTGTGTGTGTGTGTGTCTGTCTGTCTGCTCTGGTGGCGCTGTGATTAAATGATATGGTTGCTAACCAAAAGGTTGGCAGTTTGAATCCACCAGCTGCTCCTTGGAAACCCGATGGGGCAGTTCTACCCTGTCCTGTAGGGTCCCTATGAGTCGGAACTGACTCAACAGCAGTGGGTTTTGTGTTGGTGTGTGTGTGTGTGTGTGTGTTTAGCTGATTAAGAAGGGTGTTTGAGAAAGGAAGAAGGGATGGAATCTAGAGAAGCAGTGGATGGATTAGCCTTCAACAGGACAAGTGACATTCTCCCACTATTGCGAGGAAGTGAGGAAAGGTGATGGGGGTTAGACTTTAGTTTATAGACAGAGGAGCAAATTTTTGAGTTTCCGTTTGATGGTTTTTCTATAGTTTTAATGAAATAGCAAGATTAGCTTATGAATATGAGATTGGAAGTGGTAGAATAGGAGATTTAAGGGAAGAGGAGAAGGTTTGAAATAGCCACTGTGAACAGTTGGAGAGTGGAATGCCAAGGAAGAAATAGAGGGATTTGTCAAGGCGTGTTGAGGGTCCTGATTAATTTGGACACCTTGACCATTACTGTGGCACCATGCTACTAAAGAAGATTGTGGTTTGAGTGATTCATTTGGCAGTATTCAACATCTTCGGTATAAGAATGACAGAGGTAGAGAGTTGGGTTAATTTCAAGGTTGAAGTTTTTCCAGGTGAGTGTGATGAAAGGACATTAGAGACATGGCTTTGAGGATATTGATAAGAGGGTGGTAAAGTATTAGACCTGAGACTTAGGCTAACTAGAGAAAACTGAACAGAGAGGAGAGTAAAGACAGAAGGAAGTTGGTAGAATAAAAGTAGAGGGGTCAAAGAGTTAGAGGTCCAGATGAGATCAAAGATCAGGTAAAATAGGAACCTCTGACTTAGAAAACTGGAAAAATAAGATATTAAATTTAAAAAGAAGAATCTTTTTTTTCAACTTATTTTTTACAAGTGGAAAAATTCTGCATGATTACAAGGAACTGGCTTGGGAGGGAGTGGCTGAAGTAGAATGGAGGCTGAAGTCATTGGAGTTAAGGTCAGGAGCTTTGAATTAGCGTGTTGGGTAGGTTATCTACATGGATTCTGAAATCACTCAAGATGATCATAGGCCTTGCATTGGAGTGGAAATCTTTGATGAAACTTTCAGTCACTGCAGTGAATGATCAGCAGTGACAAAGATGTTGGAAGTTGGCAGCGGTGATGACATGTGGAAGGTAACACAGGTTAGGGTGAAGGAGTAATAATCTGGATTTTGTATTAAAAACTGCTAACCCTGCCTCCCAGCCTGGGTATTTGGAGTGGGATGAATCAAGCAACAACAATGTATGTGAGGGGTACAAGAAAATCAGTTCTATTTGGAGGTCAAACTAGATTTCAGTTAAGAAGGATAGTTGTAAGAAGCAGCATGTAATGAGACTGAAGATACAAAAAAGATTGTGTAGCATATATTAGGAATTCCAGAGGACACGGCAGAAAGGGATCAGAGGGTGAGGATGTCTGTGAAGCTTGGCTGATAGGAGAAGAAAGATGGCATGATGAAGGTGGTACTCAGGGCTGATGTGGATGGGAAGAAATATACCTCCAATTATCAGGCCCTTTGCCTACTCCGGAGCCTGGTAGCACCAGTGGTTAAGCATTCGGCTGCTAACCAAAAGGTTGGCAGTTCAAATCTACTAGCCGCTCCTTAGAAACCTTATGGGGCATTTCTACTCTGACCTATAGGGTTGCTATTGAGTTGGAATCAACTCGACGACAAAGGGTTTGTTTTTGCCTACTCCAGAAAGCAGCAGGCACTTCAACGTCAATGTCTGTACTGGTGTTTTTCAGCTTATCCAAAGGCCTCATCCTCCTACTATGCTTATCCAAAGGCCTCATCCTCCTACTATACACCTGCAGCTGAGTCCATGAGGAGCACTCCTTGTTACTCAAACATGCCGTGTCAGCCAAGAAACAATGGAGGCTCAAATGTTTTGGGTCGCTGTAGGCCGATGAGTTACAGGGAAATGTATACTCTAGGTAAGCATCTTTCCATAGACTTTTTCTCACCAATGTTTGTCTGTCATACATAGAGGACTAGGCAAACCCCAAGCTCTTGGTGTCAAACAGTGGAAGAGATGCATGTCTCTCAAAGAGACCTCCCCTGAGATGGGAAGGACTCATTCTTCCACCAATACAACCAACTTGGAAACTCACCAGGCAGGTGATGGTGGACCTCAGTTTGCTTCTATGACCTATGGGAACTGAAGAAATAATTTTCCATGCTCTGCAGTCTTGTGGCTTTCTCTACCCAGGTAGTAATCCATTTGAAAAGCATCAGTCAAAGGATGACATTTATCCAGTCTAGATTTGTCATGGCCAGCCCAGCTTAGTCTACAACATAGGACCTTGAAACCTGCTACCCCAGTAGAGTCTGGGGTGAGTCCTAGTTAAATAAACCACCTTTCCTGTCTCACCTCACACATTCTACCTGCAAACTGGGGTCCTTCTATTGTTTTTCTTTGCCACTTACTCTTGATTTGCTCATTTTTCTTTGACCGCTAGTTAAAGAGAGGGCTTCATGGTCTGAAGTGGATTCAGATCACTCTGCTACCACTTACTGTCTGAATTTGGGCAATTTAATTCCATTCTCAGAGCCTTAGTTCCCTCACTTGCACACCAGCCCACCTCATAGGGTTGTTGTGAGAACTTTCTTACTGTTACCCAGTGTAGGTTCTCAATTTGTGTTGGTTTCCTACACTCATCCTAATATCCCTGCAACGCAGAAGGTCTCTGCTGCACACTTTCTCTCTTACAAGTCCTGTCATCTCTTACCAAAGAAGAAAGAATAATTACCCAGCAGTGCTGTGATGCTGGATTATGTAAATTAATAATAGCAACTACTATTTGTAAAGAGCCTATTAGTGGCCAGCCTCTGCTTTAGGTACTTTACACATTTTCTTATGGATTAGGCATTATTGTTTCCAGTTTACAGATGAGAAGACATTGGTTAAATAACTTTTACACTTAGTAAGTTAGCAGAGCTGAGATTCAAACTAAGACTTGGAATTCTGAGCCTTAATTTTTTTTTTGTTTTCCATTAGAGTAGAACTTTCCTTTTCTTTTTTTTTTTTTTAAGGGTATAGTTTTGTATTTTTTTGCCTACTAATTTCTAAGTTT